ATAAATTTAAAGGAGATACGGCAACTAAGGTGTTAAAGAAAAGGTTATCTAGATCCCTGAGAAAGATGTTTTGTTCAGTAGAGCTCTGAACTGTTTTCTCCACCAAGAAACTCATTCAAGTAAGTGTCAAGGGGAATCTACCGCTTTGGGCCACCTCAGTGTACATTTATCAATCTACTTGCTCTTGTGGAGCAGTTTATATTGACCGTACAAAGCGTGCATTTAGTAGATGAATATCCGAGCATTGCCTTGCATAATCATGTAAAAGGGAATGCAAATCAATCAACAGCTCAATCCTTGGACATATGGTCAGTTTTGGTCATATGGCATTACAAGAATTATCTCTTATGATCATCTACAAGGTATAAATGGGTCAAAAAAGGTTTAGATGAGGGATTCCTCGCACAGCTGAGGCTATAGCAACTCACCATTTTTAACCAGACCTCTATGTACAAAAGAGTCATATCCCTTATTCTCTCCCGACCGTAGCTGCTACCTTGACGTGGTGGTCGGGCTTGCCTACCGTGATGACCCAACCGAGCTATATTGGCTGGAACACATGTTCCTGCAGGTTCTACCACGACAGGCAGGTCGATTGGAGAAAGGTAAGACTAAAAGCAGCAACTCAAGGTCTGAGGGCGAAGTCGTACTGCTGACTGTACAGAGGTGTGACAGCAGTAAGGTGTTTCCCTCGGACAACCAGCATCTACAGCGGTGCTGCCTTCTCACAAGGAAGGAAGGGGTTAGAAAAGGTCGACCCTAAAAATGTCACACCTCACCTTACCCCACGGATTTCCGCCTCCGGCGGTAAGGCCCTTTGAAGAACGGAGCTAACACATTAAAAACCTCCCCCAAAAAGGCCGTGCGCGACCGGCCTCAAGCAGTTATCCCTTGGGCTCTGTGGTCACGCACCCAGGTCGTTAAGATCAACGCTAATCCTATTTTCTTTTCAGGTTCTTCAAGAAATACCCTTCCACGGTGTGGGCAGCCGGGAAGTGACATCAGCCCCCATACCCGTAACAGCATACGAGACCAAGTTGGTCACATTCAAATCATTCCTACACCTCCTAATAACTCTCTTATCTCCACGACTAACCCTTCTTACGTCCCTTTATCACCTCGCTCCACTAGTGCAAACGGTTCGAGTACGCGGAACGTTATTCCTGGTCTCCTGAAACCACGCTCTAAACTACACATAGGAGCTTTCAACGTCCGAACACTGTGCCGAATAAGACAACAGGCTTCCTTAGCTAGGACTTTAGAATCTCGCGCATACAGGATCCAAGCAGTGTCATTCATTTGACCTCACTATGTCGAAGTAACGAACCAACTCGATTTACGCTTCGTGTATCTGGAAGTTCTGATGATGCTTCCCGTGGTCTCGCTGGCGTAGGTATAGCATTGAGTCCTAGGGCGGAACTAGATCTCTTAGACCGGATCCCAGTAGACAGTCGTTTGTGCGCTGTCCGACTAAACGGAATACTAAGGAATCGGAAAGATAGGGACATTCGTCGTCTCTGCCTACTCTCCCACTGACTGCAGCTCAGATAATGTAAAAGATGAGTTTTACGGAAAGCTTTCCGTCCTTCTCCGAAAAGCTAGGCGTTCAGATGTAGTAATAGTGACTGGTGACTTTAATGCTCAAGTAGGTAAACTATGCGAAAGGGAGAGACACCTGGGTGGATCTTATGGTGTCGTGGCTCAAAGAACAGATAACGGCGACCGTCTGTTGCAACTATGCTCAGATAACCGCCTGTTTCTTGCAAACACTAACTTTAAGCATAAGGAAAAACATCTTTTGACATGAAGAACCCCTAATTTATCCCAACGCTGGACCCAAATAGATCACATCGCTATCAGCCACCGATGGAGGGGCTCGATAGAGGACTGTCGCTCATTCTGGAGCACATGCTTAGACTCAGATCATGCTCTAGTGCGAGCGCGTATTTGTCTGCTTCTTACTGGACGTAGGAAAGATGGTGCAAAGAAACCCCTTAGGGTCCTACTTAATGATAGTCAAGCTAAGAGTATATTTCAGGAACAACTAGAAAAACAGTTAGGCAGCTATTTAAGTGATGCCCACCCAGAGGCAGCGTGGAATGACATCCGAAAAGCTGTAGGAACAGCAGTGATGTCTGCGAGTACGGTAAATCATAAGGTTAGGGAGAAACACTGGATCTCAGCAGCATCTACCGCACTGATAGATACTCAAAAACTCATTCCATCTGGCTCTGAACATAACGAAGAGCGGAGTCAGCTTAAGCGTAAGCTCACTAGAAGCTTACGCAATGATCATGAACAGTGGTGGGTAGCGAAAGCAAGAGAGATGGGAAAGGCAGCGGCAATAGGTAACAGCAGGCAACTGTTCAGACTTGTTAAGGAAACCGGTATTAGGAACTCAACTGTTAGCGAAACAATCGCAGAGAAAGATGGACATATTATTCATTCTCAATCCAGGAGATTGGATCGATGGGTAGAACACTTTAGGGATCAGTTCAACTGGCCTTCAGCCACACTTCGGTTTCCCACGATCTCCAGTCCACCTGAATGGCAAGTTAATGTGAATCCTCCGACTGTTTACGAAGTTGAAAAAGCTATAGGAAATCTGAAGCGTGGGAGAGCAGCCGGCCCTGACAGGTTTACCCCTGATATTTTTAAGGATGGTGGTCCAATGTTAGCAGCGAGATTGACTGAGGTCTTAGGTAGAATCTGGGAACTGGACGTAATCCCATCTGACTGGTCTCAATCACTGATTGTGCCAGTCTATAAGAAAGGACAAAGGTCCTCCTATGACAATCACAGAGGAATTAGTTCGACTAATATAGTGTCTAAAATATTAGCTTCAATAATACTTCGACGCCTAACCAAAGCTCGTGAAGAGCAGACTAGAGAAAACCAGGCTGGTTTTCAACCTGGACGTGGTTATATAGACCAAATATTCACACTACGTCAGGTCCTAGAACACAGACACACATTCAGACGCCCCACAATGGTAGTATTTGTCGACCTTAAGGCGGCATTTGACTCTGTTGATCGTGAGGTTCTATGGCAGTGTTTGTCACTGAAGGGAGTACCAAAGAAGTACATCAACCTTATAAAGGCTCTCTACTCGAACACAACTGGTCGAGTGAGAGCTTATTGCGAACTGTCGTCAGAACTGATTACCTCAAGTGGTGTTCGTCAGGGCTGTCCACTCTCTCCATTCTTGTTTAACTTTGTCGTTGACGTCCTTTTAGAGATGACACTTTCCTCATCTAAATTTCCAGGGGTTGAACGTCTACCGGGAGATCCACTTGTTGACTTAGAATATGCCGATGACATAGTTCTATTTGGTGAAAACGCTGACAAAATGCAGAGTCTGTTGACCACTCTAAGCAACAATGCAGGCATGTTCGGCATGCGATTCTCTCCCTCGAAATGCAAAATGTTGCTTCAGGATTGGGTTGCGTCGACACCCGGACTAGTGATAGGGAGTGAAGTAGTTGAGCGTGTCGACCGCTTCACTTATCTCGGAAGTCTCATCAGCCCTTGTGGTTTGGTGTGTGACGAAATCTCAGCACGGATACAGAAGGCTCGACTAGCTTTTGCCAACTTGCGTCATTTGTGGCGTAGGCGAGATACCCGTCTATCAACCAAAGGATGTGTTTACTGCTCAGCAGTTCGTTCCGTCCTACTTTATGGCAGTGAAACATGGCCGGTAAGAGTAGAGGATATTCGTAGGTTATTAGTATTTGATCATAGGTGTCTTCGAAACATCGCTCGTATATCCTGGGACCATCGAGTAAGTAATACAGTTGTTATGAAACGGGTACTAGGTAAGGATGGCAAATCAATTGAGGAAGTAGTGAAACTTCACCAGTTGAGATGGCTGGGACATGTGCGCATGCCCGACCACCGACTGCCCCGACGTGCTATGTTTTATGGTGTAGGAGTAGGTTGGAAGAAAGCTAGAGGCGGCCAGACCAAAACATGGCACAAATCCATGAAGTAACTGACAAGTGGACTAAGCCATGTTGTTAGATGTAGACTATCTGTTTGGGGACCGCGAGATGATAGCAACCGATGGTTAGAGACCTTGAATGACATGGCTAAAAATCGTTTGCAATGGCGCGGGTGCATCCACTCTATGTGTTCTCCCAAACTCTAATCTTCTGAATTCTCCATGTCTTTTATTTTCTTTCCAAATATATTCCACTGGACTATACTCCTTAAATAACATCATCAAACCTTAACGTTTCGTGTCACTACTTATACTTTCACTACTCTGCCACTACGGGTTTTGAGACGATAACTGAATCTCTGTGCTAATGTAGTATGGCAACTCGAACTGATGTACGTACGTACGAAGTTCCACGTTGTTTCTGACTGACTTATTCTTACATGGTCTTAGGATCTCCTTGGATTTAAACAATCGTAAGTGCTGATTAATCGATTTCTTGTCTCTTAATAATGTAGACGGTTATTTTTCGTTTTTATTCTATAAATTATTATTTCCAAAACTATTAAATAACCTTAGTTCTTGATAATCACTCTGATAAATGATACAAATTTAATCACGTTGAAATAACACCCATTTATAAACTACTATATTTAGTAATTAAAATGTTTTGATAATCTCGACTGTATTATGCTGAAATGTCTTCATCCTTTTTAATGATTCAATGGGCCCCTATTGTTGTTTGGATTTGTGAAAAACACATTAGGCAAACATCTACAAGATTAATTGAACTAGATGACTTGATCTATACTCTTTTGTTACCGTTTGAATATAATGCTTCTATCGAAGTTGTAGATGCACATTTCTGATTCCAGTCATCAAATGCAGATCATTCAACGATTAAGCTGTGGTTAACTGCATTTCTTTGTATGTGGTCAGTAGTTTATGTCTTTGTACATGAAGGCAGTGGATAAAGAATTATGTATATAAAAATGTATATTTATTACAGAAAAATACTGTTTGAATACTTATATGTACATGTATGATTTGATATATATGTCATTTACAAATCTGTCTCGTTATTAAAACTAGGAGATTTTACTTTAGATTTCCTCCATATGCTTGGATTACTATTTATCTGTTCAATTTTCCCATTGATAAAACTCAACTTGACTTTCTTACCTTTGTAGTTCTTATAAATTGGTTCATTTGGCTGATTCACCAATGAAGTAGAAGTATTGGTTGTTACAATTTGTTCTGTTTGTTTATTCATATTGTCCGATTGACCGTTACGAAGTTTACGATTTTCCTCCAGTAGATCAGCACACATATTCGCCAAATGATTTCGGCGGCATTGTTCCTAATCAGTAGAAGATTTTCATTATTATTACGATCTCAACATTCATATTTCTAAGTATAATGATTATTAACTATAGTGTATAAAATTATTGTTTATTTATTTATTTATTTATTTGAACACATAAATATTGGTACAGGGGGGCACCAAATATATATGCGCCACACAAAACAGTGATAATTAGAAGAGAAGGAGAAAAGAGAAGAAAAAAAAAAAGTAATGAACGTGGGGAATTATAAAAAAAGAAGAGAGAGAGAGAGAACAATGGTGGGGGAAACGGAAAGGTACAATCAGAACAGATCTTTCAGTTAAGGAAGAATACGACCACCTTTTTATGAAGAAAGTAAAAGAAGGTTACAGCAGGATCGCCACTGGCTTCTATTCTGAGCCATATCTGATAACGTCTCTAGCCACTGCGTTACACCATCTCTCGGACCCCAACCAGGGAGTCGTGAAGGACCAACAGAAGCTAGCCCTTTGCAGCTTTCTTTCATACCACGACACCATGTCATATACTGACCACCTCTCCGCTTTTTCCAACCAGTCCCAGAGTCGGCAAATAATGCACGACGAGGAATTCTCTGGGACGACATTCGTAGAACATGTCCAAGCCACCGAAGTCGGTGTTTCAAGATGGTGACACCAATTTCATTATCGTCTCTGTGACCGAACACTCGATGCCGAACCTCTGCATTACTGACATGGTGTTGCCACTGGATGCCAGCAATCCTTCGGAGACAACGATGATCGAACACAGAGAGTCGTCTAACATCCTCAACTCGGAGAGGCCAGGTTTCACAAGCATAGAGCAAAACTGCTCTCACCGTCGCGTTGTAGATCCGACCTTTTACAGCCAGACTAACATCACGAAGGCGCCAAAGATGGCCCAGATTGGCATAAGCCGCTCTGGCTTTCACTATACGTGCATTGATCTCATCACTCACGCCACCGCCAGCACTTATGCAGCTACCTAGATACACGAACTTCTCGACTACTTCTATCTGCTCACCATCCAGAGTGAGTACAGGATTAGAATCCTGCCAGTCTTGTAGAAGTACTTTGCACTTCGAAGGTGCAAAGCACATACCATACCTACGGACACTGATTGCCAACTGATTAAGTGCGGATTGCATGGCTTGGGCATTCTCGCACAGTAAGACCTACAGTATGCGTAAGCAGCTGCTAAACCCGATTATCCAAAATGTTTGAGCAAGGGTTTTGAAAACTTTGATTATTAATTTCAATAGTTGAAATCATAAGTCAGTTGAAGCTAAATCACCATGGAAAACCTGGAAGCACTGGACGGCCGTTTCACCCCATTGTCAGACTCCTCAGCAGTGCGAATTCACGAACCCAGGACCTGTCAGTCTCACGCGCGAGCGCTTAACCATTAGACCACTGAACCGGAATCCGACGGTGTTAATGTCTAACTTCAACTAATCCACGAAATTGAGCGACACATCCACCATTGTCATCAGTAATTTACTATCTCACAACAGGCTCGTTCTCACGATAGGACGAAACAGCCATCCAGTGCTTCCAGGTTTTCCATGTTGGTCTAGCTTTAATTGACTTATGATCTCAACTACTGAAATTACTACAATCTCCACAAAACCCCTTCTGATATTTGATCATTAACTTACTTTAACACCAATTGAGTGTTCCTTTTCTTTTGATTGTTTCTTTATTAATTCGTGGCATGATATAATTTGTTTAATCATTATTATTATATGATTTTAATTATTATTTTTTGTTGTGTTTACCTATCTTACCTTCATTTCTTACTTCTCGATAACATTTTTGTCGAATTATAATACTTAATAATATTCAGTAGTTAATTTCACTCTTCATTTTAAGTATATGGTATATCATATTTCTCTGTCGTTGTATGGTGTTACTAAATATTTACATTAATTTGTTACTGTAATTGTAAGTTTTTAGCATTTATAACAGTTATTTACAATTTTGACTCATTCACTGGATCTTTATTCAAGTATAATAGTTCCCATCCATATTCTAGTCTCCATTTCTATTTCTGGCTTTACACACAGCTACTTGCTGTTATTTATACTATGGTTAGTCATAAATATTCATTTTGCAGTTGTTATACACACTGACGCGTTAAACGCTACAAACGACTGGTGAATTATTGTTTGTAACTATTTTGCGAATATTTTTATAGTAGTAGTACCTCTTTTTTTTTAGAGAAAAGTACTGATTTTTCCCACTTCATTCTGTCGTATGATTGGATGTTTCAATAGAATTAACAGTTATTCTAATATTTTAAAGTTATTTTTATTTTCTAAAGTGATTTCTGAACACTATTAAATAAGAATGTTTTTACGTTATCCTAATGTGTAGAAATTTGGATTCCTGACGTTTTGTGACAACGTAAATGATTTCTTCAGAGTAACCGAATGGAATGAACACAAGTTTAAGTAGTACATAGAAACGAAATAAAATATTTGGTTCAAACAAAATCATAATAGGTCTGAATATGCCAATATCATGTGAATTTTTGGTCAAGATGATTCTGTATAAGACAATATGTTTATTTGTGCGAATGATGGTGGGTATAAAAAAATGTTTAATTTGTAATATGGATTGATTGAGTTAATATTTGAGTGTGTGTAGATTGTGTGGAAAATTAAAGAGTTCAATGAGGTTGTTTGGGAAGATAGTTCAAGTTGAATTAATAGTTAGGCCTTTTTTATTGAGGGTAAAAGTACTTAGTATTGTTTATTTATTCTTCAAATCAGTGAATTATGAAAAATCACCATACTATACAAAATCTTAAAAAAAAAGCTGAATGTAAATGTATAGATTCTCTAAGTTAGTTTGACGAAATTGTTTGTTATTTCTCTCTCTCTTTCCATCAGTGAAGTCTTCACTTCGGTGGTCTATTGGATATCATGAAATTTTCTAAAACAAATTGGACAACGGATCAAAGTTTTCTTAAAGCATGTACTCTGTGGATTATAGCTTACAATATCAATGATAGATGTCTTTTTATTGTGTTTTTGTTTACTGAACAAAAGGCTGGAGATAACTAATATGGATATTTTAACTGTATTTTTATAATTTTTCTTGTCATTGATTAGTAAGGTATTTCTATGTCATTGCTCCCAATGCCCTGGTACGACCGAGAGTGGGGAAAGTCCTCCCTTCCTCTTGAAATGCTCTCACATGGCCACGCGTATATAGCCTCTGCCAGGGAAGTTCTATTCACTACCTCGTGGCGGAAGCGTTGTTTACGGAATTGAGAGAAAGAAAAGCGAATACCCGGTACTTTAATCGGGTTGGTTGACATGGAGAGTCTACCCAGGGGAGTTGGAAAACCCTGATTCCAAACCAATGGTGTACATAGGCTCCAGTACCCTGAATGAACAAATAGCGTATGAACCAATCGTTGGTTACCGGCTACCATGGGACTACATCTCCTCATGATGCTCCATTACCTTGTGGATCAGATCTTTAGGTTAAAAGTTCCGGTTATGACTCCCTAAGAAAACCGCCCGATTTGGTTTGGGCACCCGGGCAGTACCACAGCTCTGAAACAAATCAAATGAGATTTGTATGGCGCATATGTATCTGGTGCTATCTTGTACCAGTATTTATGTGTTTAAATAAATAAATCTATATCATTGAAAAAATTAATTCTTCATTCAGTTCCCGTTATTTAGAGTTCACTTCAAAGTTATCACTGTTCATATGTCCATGTTATCGCATGTCATAATGCTTTAATAATAAGTTACAAACTTAATTCACTAATAACAAGATGTTAATTACTATTATCACTCAAATATTTTTATTGATAATTTAAAGGATATTTCGCGGTAGTTTTGTTTCTTATAGTTTAACAAGAGAGATGGCACGCCAGTGCTTTATCTTGTTTTGCTTATTCTGTAAAATAACGTGTCTAATATTTTCGACAATCAAAATACATAACACTAAGTGTTATTGAAATTTGTGCAAATATAATAATCTTCTATGAATAGAGAGGAATGGTCGGTGTTGTTAAATAAAAATACTTTATCATGTTTTTAGGGCTACTATTGTTCATTCCTAAACATAATTGATACAAAGAGAAGTGAGTAGTTATTGATCGCCTTATGGCCTTGATTATCTTCTTTAACTATTCATTTGTTAGCTGACAAATAAGTTGTAGAAATAATGTTATAGCTGTTTTTGTTATATAAATAGTAGTTTGAATTCCTGGTGATTTTGTCTTTTGCAATCTATTCAGTTTAAATGTTGATGATTTTTAGTTTGGACGCTATTACCTCAGAAATCCAACCATTTTATCATACCGATTAGGTTGTCACATCAGCAGTCGTCAGTGGAAACTTACAGATTGCTATGCATTAAACATATAGAACTATTATTTATCTTCCTTCTTGAGGTAGATGTTTATTTGTTGCCTGAATAGTGAGAACCACTGAGCGGCTGTTTTATCCTGGCATGGGGTTCCTCAAAAATGCTCACTCATAATCCCCCACCAGGGATCAAACCTAGGGTCTTCGGGTCTCATGGTGAAGTTCTAACAGTTAGATCTACTGGGTTAGGATTTTGTAGTACAATTTAATCTTAAATAAATCTACCATGTATGGTAACAACTGTGTGAACTCCACTAGTTACGAAACAACTGTGTTTCATAGCTTTCAAGGGTACCCCATCTGAGATCAACCTGTGGTGAAAGAGACGTACAAATTTAACTAGTCTCCATAAAATCTTTTCATTTAAACTAATATATAAATAGACGAATATGGTTTAGCTTAAAAATGTTTATCATCCCAACTTTTCTAAGAAATCTTGAGCAGTCATCTTTTAATTTGTTTAGGATCAGTGAAACAGCACTATATATATGGAACCATCATTATCAGGGTCAGTCAGTGGTCTTGAATGCTGTTATGGGTATGAAGGCGGTTATCAACTCCCGGTTGCCCACACCATGGAATGGTTCTTCTGGAGTTACGTGAAAAGGAAATTGGATTAAAGGTGGTCTTAGTGACCTGAGAGCGTGATCGCAGTGTCTAAGCGACAACTGATTGAGGCCGGTCACACACGATCTTTTTGTGGGCAATTTTTGTGTTAGCTCCGTACTTGTTGAAATCTTAAGGCGAGGTGTGCAGTTTTAGAGTCGACCTTTCTAACTCCACCCCTCCTTGTGGGAAGGCAGTATCGCTGTCATACTGACTGTCTGAAGGAAACACCTTACTGCTGTCACACCTCTGTACAGTCAGCAGTACAACATCGCCCTCAGACCTTGGGTTTGCTGCTTTTAGTCTTATCGCTGTTCAACTGACCTGTATAACATGTTGTGACTTTGAGAAACGATCGTTCCAGCCGGTATAACTCGATTGGTTCATCACGATAGCAACAACGGTCGGGTATTATTCTGTATTAATGTAGTTTTCAAATTTAGCACTCGAAACTTAAAACCGACTATCGATATTCTTTGTCACAATTTGTAATTAAGTTACATCTAGAAAATTCCTAATACCTATAATGATACGTTTGAATACTAAAGATATAAACAAACATATTTCAATATCATAAAGAATATAAAATACTGTATAGTAATGAAATTGAACACATCTTAGAACTTACTAATAGGAGTTCTTCATTTATTTTTCTTAAGTAATTTCGTAGTTCATTTTCATTTAATTTTGTTAAATCATATAATTGATTATTTGTTAAGTTTTGTTTAATATCTATATTACATTTATCCATTGTATTATTATTATTATTATTATTATTATTATTATTATTATTATTATTATTATTATTCAATTCATTTGTATTGTGTGATTGTGTAAAAGTTTCTTTAGTTATTTTCAATCTACTTTTTTGTTTTATTAGTGGTATATAATCTATTGAAGAATTTTTGAATTTCATATTTGTGTTCACCGTTAAATTATTTGATCTTTAATGAGAAGAAAAAAAGTATAATGAAAAAAATTATATAATTCAATGAATTATTTTTGGTTATAGATGAATAAAAAAAAACTATGAGGAATTGAATATGTATTTTATTTTAGTTTGGAGTAAGTCTTTTGAACGTATTTGAAAAAAATAACACTGGGTCAGAATTGGTCTTATTGACCTGGGATCAGTTCCTCAGAGATTAAGTAACAATTGCCAAAGTACAATAACATACAGCCTTTTTATAAGTCGTTTTCCCTATAATAGCTCTCTAATTTAAAGGACTTAGAGCCAATGATGGAAATCTGTGGGGCAAGGTGAGATGTGTTCTTTTTAGAGTTGATATTTTTAACCCTCGCTTTTCGATGTAGAAAGGCAACTTCATTGTATATGCTGATTGACCGGCGGGAATACATTATCATCGTCACATTGGAGTATCATCAGTTGCTTTTAGTCTTAATATCTCTCTAACTTATATAAGTTCTTGACAAAGATATCTTCAGCTATATATTCTTACTTAAGACTATCAGTCACTCATAGAAAGTGACCATCTGAAATTGATAAATACTATATTCATCAACGGGTGAATAGAATGACAGCAAACTATGTAATCATTATATTCCCAGCACTTATTCATTGGTCTCGATATAGAAGTCTAATAATACAACGCTATGGTGGACAATGAATTATTTTTTATGTGCTTCTATGTTACCCACACTGGATCACCGCATATATCAACTTATTAAACGAATATAGAATCTGATGTACAAACTCTAAGATTAGTTTATTAAATTGCTGTAATTCATGATAACTCCTGAGTTTGATACTTAATGATTAAGATATTTAAATTTAACGGATTCGAATTCTTTATCTAATTCTGTTTGAACAATTGAATAGAATCATTAAGACTTCCACTCACAAATAGTGTATTTCAAAATCGAGTAAATTTAGATCATGTCTGGTAAATCAATTATATTATACTTATATATGTTATAGTCCAATACCTTGGTTTGTCAGCTTTCTTATTCATTAGATTTCTATTCTGAGTGAAACTGTTAAAAAATTGCATACCTACCGACTTTGTTCCAGTTTACTGATTGTAGTATTTTCATGTAATTTCGTATTCCATGTATTTGTTCCAGTTGATTGTAATCGACGACGTATTGTAATAATTCTAGCATCTGTATTACAATGTGAATGAATTTTTTCAGTTTTAGCTCGTCTCCATTTCACTGGTATATGGAATGTTGCATCAACATTTGGATTCAATGAATTATTTAATGATAAATCATTAGTTTTATTTGAATCCGGATTCAATGTAGATAATGAAGACTCACTTAAATCATTTTGGTTTGTAGTAGATATTTTAGTGACTTGTATTTTGTCACTTTCAGGAATTGGAGAGTTATTCTGAAATGATTGAAGATAGTTCTTTTTAGGAAAAAGAAAGAAAGATTATCTGTGAAAATAGATGGAAATTATTTATTCTCTGAAGAAGTGGCTTACACTAAGTCACAAAACGTCAGAAAATCTAATTTTTCTACTCATTGGGATATTACAAATATATTAATTTATCACAATCTACCCAATGCTCAGTTTATTCGAAATTGGTAACGATACCTATAAAAATTATTTGTTCGTTATTTGGATTGAACAGTACCCTATTTTTAATCGAAATAATGTAATCCTTTTATTTATGAATGATACTGTTGTGTAATACGTATGGAGTATCACTCTAATAATGATTACAAATTCTGTTATGAAACTCATATTATTTTTATAACTGATAAAGATTATTCTTTTCGAAGAATTCCCCTCTTAGAATTGATAATCATAACAGTGTGGACTACATAAAAATGATATAGATGTTTAGGAGATAGCATTGTTATGTGGAATTAACACATAGATCAACATATTGGTACAAGGAGAGCTATTAGACAAGCGTCAGTATATCTTTATATGTTTATGTCTATTTATAAAAACATTATTTGATCTTTAATTAGTTCTTATTATTGATCGGATTGACACTAGTTTAAGTCACTGTACAATTGTATCAGATGGCTGAAAGAAGTTAGCAACAAGCCATGAACCTGGGTTCCACCTCGTTTGGCACTAGTTAAAGAAACATGTGTAAAATTATAGGGAGATTATAGATACACATTAAACGATGGTTATGGAATATTGTCAGATAATTGAAGTTAGAAATACAAACTATTGGACGTCAATTCGGTAGTCTGAAGTTTAAGTGCTTGCTATGAGACCCCAAGGTTCTGGATTCGATCTCTAATGATGGGGTTGTGGATTGGCACTATTAAGAAGTTCGATACTAGCATGAAACAACTGTCTGGTCATTCCTACTCTTTTGAGGTTGTTTAACTAAAACCAGTCGATGATGTAAACCATAAAACTATAGTTTTAAAAGTTGATCAGGCTTTAGGAGAACGATTATTTAAAGTTAACCTTGTTATTTTTGGACTAGATGGGCAGAAATCCTGTTAAATACGCTTACTATAGTTTTTGATTATATGTATATCAATTCTTCTATGATACAATATTTTAAATTATACAATGACGATGTAGTTGATTGTTAAAAAAATAGTCAAGTCCTATTATTTATAACTCGTTATAAATAATAACGATGAATCGGTGGGCTATCGGTGGGCTATCGGTTAAAGCAGTTGACATTTATGAAGTAGGTTGTTACATCCTTAGGTAATGCCATTTGATTTTTGTCCAAACTATGTGACAAAAAAAACGAGTACTTTAATTTACATTTGATGAATGAATTATTGTTTTGTTTAAAATAGTACCGAAAGAAGTATTGATAATAATGATAAGTTTGGTTAGTTTTCTTCCGTTTGATAGTTATAGTTCAAAACAAGCTAGTAAGTTTGCTATATATATGATAACAGTTTAATAGAAATAAATATGTATGGAAACATGCGGTGAAAAGTTATACACAAAAGTAAACTTAAATACCAAATAACCATCTTTATATAACTGGTTATTTTGTTAAATGTCGAATTTTCATCTGTTATCAATAGGCAACTACTGTTCTCTCACTAATTTGAAAGTGAAATTATTTAAAATAAAGGGAATATATTAAATCTTACTTTTTATATGTTTGTACTACTATTTAGAAAGAAATTGTATTGGCCTAGTTTCGTTAATCAATCATATTTTTAACCGTTATTATACAAATACCAACGATACTTGAATTCAAAAAGCAATAAGAAACGGATAACACAGACCACAAAGCTCTAAGCACACCGAGCGAATTCAATGCCGAATATGTGTATGCGAGCAAATGAAGAGGCAAATTTATAGTCAAATCGAACCAAGACGAAGCTAGGCAATTCGTAAGATTCGAGCATATATATATATATATATATATATGGGAAATAGAATGATTCATCGAGCGATATTTAAGCGATTAACATTTAATCTAAAGAGATATGTGCGTATGATGTCACATGTGATCAAGCGCACACGTTTATGCAGACGTGATGATGATCACAATAATATAAAGAAATAGACGAATCGTTACTTTTCGGAATGAAATTGTTAAATAAGTTAATAACAGAGTTTGACAAGTTACCCATAATCGAAATTGATTGTAGGAGAGTTACTATACGATGGTTGTTAATAAGGTATAGAATTCTTTTTATTAAATGTTAGTATGTTTTTTCTGTTATTACTAAACATATATTTGGATATTTTATACTTACATAATAGTAGAATTTATAGCTTATAAGTAAATCTGTCCCTGAAAAACGAACACTGTTTTGTTATTCAATTCTTGATATAAATCACATTTTAACTATCCTATATCACTAAGTGTTGATATCTTGAATCTTTGAGCCAGTAAACGCTTGTTTAAGTTTGTATATGTCTTATTTTTGAATCCTGACAAGTTTATGAAATCTGCACTGATTTCTTTTGACTATATAATTTATAAGATGATAGCCAATCAAGTATGACATCAATAAACCAATCTAAAGCATTAGAGATGTTTTGTCGTTAAAGTTATGACTTGTTTATTTTCAGAATAGGGTTGTGGAGATTATTAAGTTTTTGATTGAGATCATGAACCGATTGATGTTAGACCACCATCGAAAACCGGGACTCCTCAGCAGTTCGAATCCACAATACCGCTCACGGGATTCGAACCCACTGTTGGATGCCGGATCAGTGATCTGTAGTGCGCACCCACGATCCCGCTCGTCGGGATGTTAAATTGTAAAAGTGATTTAAGTCAAACAATATATGATATATAGTGATGAAAACAATAGGATATTATCGCTTCCTCTGAGGTTAGATTGAAAATAATAGCTAGCATATCATTTAATTAATAACCATAATCTATATAAATTTATTTTCTTTCAAGCATTGATAAACATTTATGAAAAGAAAGTTGAGAAGAAAAAATCACCTGGTCATTCACGCTCCTTGGACATGTTTCAGGGTGATTAGAGATTTCACTGTTAGTTTCATTTTTGTCTGAAAAAAGAAAAAAAAGTTGTTAAGGGCTTGCTTTCGAAATAAATTAGTGATTATTACTTAGATATTCCGAAATCATGTTGATTGATCAAACGTTTCTGCATATAGGGATAATAATTGAATAATTAGATCAGTATAAATTACAATCTAATGTAATATTTGAATGAAAAATATTCTTTTCGATAAATTCTCTTCAAGTTCTACTATTCATATATCCGAATTAATAATCTGAAAAAAGTCCAGGTTAAAGGCAAAGTACATCGTGTAAAGTTGAAGTATGTAAATTTAGAGTTGTCAAACAAAATAGAATAAAATTGTTAGTGTTGATATGATTCATATAGGATGTTATCTTTAATCAGCTTTTATGTTAAGTGAAAATTTAAGATCCATGATCCGAATAAAAATGGATCAGATAGAGTGAGAGAAATAATAGTGCAATTACAATTCGGTCAAATGTTTAATGGAAGACTATATTATGTGAAAAATTTTTAGTAAGATATAATAAGGTGAGATGAATGAGAAGTAAACGAATTATGTATAGGGAAGATAAATTATGATGTCTAACCAATATTAATAATAATACAAAGGTTTGTGAATAAAGATAACAGAGACAATTACGTTTGATTACGAATGGTCGTAAGTACCATAGTCAAATTAAATTCAACAGCTAAGATTATTGATTAACTGTCCTAGAGGTTGCTCAAGGGAGGAGTAGCGGTTAAAGATATTTCTTCTGTACGCCTAGCTCCGGTTTCTTAATCCGGATGACTACGATTACTATGATGGGGATCTTTAAACAACTAATGTAATATCTTATATATAGACAATAATTAAGTTTACCGCTTGATAAAAGTAATTGAACATTAGATTGAGTTAGCTATCCGGCTTTATAGTTGGATATCCTGGGCTAATACTGCTTCTAGTTACATGATTTTAGTAAAGTTAGATCCTTACATCGTACCAGTTGAATACGTTTGTGAAAATCTTGACGAAAGGCATTACAAGGTTTGATTTTTTTGTGGATACTAATAATAGTATGAAGATATGTTCAATTAACTATGCACAAATAGCACGAAACTTTCGTTCTAGATTTCGCTGCTAGCCACAATTCAACTTTCCTCAAAACCTCTGTTTTTTAAAGTCAAGGAATTACTGGTTAACCTCGATTTTCTAGTCTTTCTCTACAAATTATTTTCTAGTAAGTTGTTACTTTTATAGCTGAAGATCTTATCCTTTCAACTGATCTTTTTAAACTTAAGTTAAATATATTTGCTTATTTTGACTGCTGTTAAAGATATTTAAAATAAAACCAATCTACCCGAATATCTTCTGTTTAATGCACTGTAATCAAGAATGATTATGTCTGTCGGAATAGTGTCCGAATCATACTTAGGCTAATTGTATATCAACGGTGATATCGCAACTGATGTTTATTAGATACATCAGGTTAAATTTTGTTAACTATTCTTCAAATTAAAAGAAGCAGTTAGTAGTTTAGTATGTTCTTTATTTTAAAAAAATAATATTTAAACTGAAAACAACTTTTAGCTATCTATTAGTAGTAGCTATACATATGTAAAAAAATTACTACCTTGATGACTACTGTTGGATATTCTTATTACCGTTTCTTTATTCAAACACAGTTCTTCGTTTTTTGGCGGACCAACAGTTGATGAATTCGATTGCTATGTGATTAAATCAAAATAGATATTGAATAGTTTTAATAGTTAGGTGGAAATGAATCCATAAAAATTATGTTCTATAATCAATTTCATAGGTTAAACAAAGTTTCTCAGTGAATTTATTTGTTATTTTACGGATAGATATTCCAATTACAATTAAAAGTTAATTTGTTTTGTCAAGTGCAAACTATCCCTTATTGTTTCTTTTCATTATAATGAATGGGTTTATTAAAAATGATCAAGTTGTCAAATAAACCAATATATAAGTGAAGTATTTAAGATAGTCGAAAAGATATGTAGCTTAGCTGGATGATTCAAGTGAAGTTTTGTTTTCTGAGTTGAATAGTTTCGTCATGGAGCTTTAATTATCCTCCTGAACAACATCGATAGCACTCAGGTCAATCAGTAATCAACAAACACATTGAAATAGATCCAGTTTACCAACCATTCAGACAAATCATGGACAAATCTAGGAACAAAAATCAAATCAAAATAAAGAAGTAGACAATCACGGGTGAAAGGTCGACGGTAACCAGTGAAAGTCAAGGTTGATGGGACAAGCTGCGAGTTATATCTGGAGAAACTCGAACAATTCATATCTACTTAAAGTTTGTGCTGGTGATGTTGTTTAGAAAAACAGTTCCACGACCAAACAATTCCGTCCAGAGAAGAAAACTCTACTTAAGTGAAGTATTTAGGATGATGCTATCTCCTGGTTAATATTTTTATGAAAGACATATATGCCTTAAGATACTGACTGATATTGAATTGGAAGCTTTTAGGTTCCATTTAAATTAGTTATTTTGAACTGGTAAGTTAAATTTTATAAATTGATGTATAAACGAAAATCCAACAAGTCGAGTTAAACCAACCTCTGAGAATGTGTCTTTTCAAGACTATTCAAATTGTGTCACGTTTTAACAGAACACATTAAACACAAATTAAGTGGTATAAACTTTGATGAACCATTTAATCATTCTCAATAAATTAAGTACATGGTATCTTTTTGGTGATCGACTTATTATTAATCAAAGGGATTTTAGGAAGAAAAATTTCCTGAATTTATGTATGCCTCATTTTCAAAACTACTCTAGGTTTGAGAGAATTCATCTTTTATAATCAGAATGTCATGTCTTGATTCTGAAATTCGAAAAGATACAAGTTACTCTGCTATCTTTCTATTTATTTCATTATTGATAATAAATGAAAGGTATGCCAACCACTCAATCATTATTAATGTGAGACTTTGGATAAGTGTGATTCTGTCTGAATTCGCACAATTCATATAAGCAAGGTTACAGGAAAATAACATTATCAATGACTTAGAGTAAGAAATAATGGTGAGCGTAAAGGAAGACTAAACATATGAGAGTTCATAAGGAACAAGTGCATTAGAAGTATGAGTTCTTAGGAATGATGGTCATATCAAAATTAAAGAAGACATAGAGATCCGACCCAACTAAGTAATCGTAACTCAAGCTTTCCAACCGGTTGTCATGAGTACTATTTGATTTTCAATCAGGAAGTCTTCATATCCTAACACTCTATGACTTTATGTGGTGATGTCATCTTAATTTTACCGTCAAGTTACAGTTTAGAGACATAGGCTACTTATTATCGTCAATTGTTTCTATGTTGCTCACTTTCATAAAATTTAATTTCATACTTAGACTTGATATCATGACAGATAGTGCTCTAGAGGTTAAGCGTTCGCACACGAAGCCGAGGGTCCTGGGTTTGAGTCCAGCGTGTTGAATTATGGATTTACACAACTGAGGAGTTCCATACCAGAACGAAACGTCTGCCCAGTGCTTCCAAACTTTCAATGGTTGTGTACCTTAGATTGACTCGTGATTTTTATTTAAAAGTACTACAATCTGTACAAATCATTCATATCAATTATGTTTTATTCAAAAAACTACGATTCCCGGTTTGTATAAAAAATAAAAATAAAAACTTACATGATTTTCCTGCTTCATGAAAAGTAACTCAGGTTTACGTGTTCTTCTTCTTGACTGAACACAATTAGCTGTTTCAATTAAATTCATTGTTTGTAAACCATTTGAAGTGAAATCAGTTGAATTTTCATTGTTATTATTGGTTATTAATTTGTTCTCAGTTTTTTCTTGACATTGTAAATTTGTATACAACTCATTTGAAAAGATCTGTTGAACATCTAATGAATGATACTTTCGACTGGTGTAAAAATGAAACGTTTGTAAAAATTGATTAGTTAATATTGGGTTTTTAAAACAAAAATTCAGTATAAATAAAGCATTTAAAATATTGCTGTTCTTTCTGGAATTGACAGTAGAGCTTTGACTTAGTGACTAAATAGTTTGACGTTCAGTTACTAAGTATCAGATTTTTGAACTTTACTTAATCTACTTACGTTTCTTAGAGTGGGTTACTTATATACACATAAGTAGTATATGACGGTGGTCAGGCGATGAATGTATTTCAGTAGAAGATCGATAAAGAAGGAACGGAAACAGAACGCAGTTGGTATAAAAATACATGAACAATGAAATCTAAAACAATGGACTGATATTAGCAAAAGGAACAGTCAAGTTTGAGACGATGGATTGATATTTTGTAAATTAACTATTTACTATATGATTCTCAGATTTTAGTAAGATGCTCTGTAATTTCGTATCAGTTACATTCAATTGTCCCCACTCGTGTTTTAGAAATTTCAATAGTTGAAATCATGAGTCAATTGAAGCTAGACTGAAGACATTGGTGTACGTTGGCGCAATTTCGTGGATTGGTTGGAGTTAGACATTAACACCATTGGATGCCGGACGGCCCAGTGGTCTAATGGTTAAGCACTCGCGCGTGGATGCACACTGCTGAGGAGTCCCATATTAGAACGAAACGGCCGTCCAGTGCTTTTAGGTTTCCCATGGTGGTCTAACTTCAATTGACTCATGATTTCAACTAATGAACTTTCTAAATTCTCCACAACACCCATTGTGAAAATAACTATATATTAATTCACTTGATATTGTTTTATTTGAATCTTCCCATTGATGTATAGGACTGAAATTGTTCAGTCTCTTATTGGCATATGTGCATACTGTGCGTATGCTTCGATATTGCCTTAATTTACAAGCATTATAAGCAAAGATGGATAGTGGCTAGCAGTGGAATCCAGTTTGACGCGCGTTTCGTCTTATTTGGGACTCGTCAGCTGGATGTACCTGCATCTCAGAGTTGATGTTCACTCCGGGACTCGAACCCAGTACCGTCCGCTACTGAGTCAGTAGCTAAGTGGATAACGCGATGGCGTTTGAAGCGGACGGTACTGGGTTCGAGTCCCGGAGTGAACATCAACTCTGAGATGCACGTACATCCAGCTGACGAGTCCCAAATAGGACGAACCGCGCGTCAAACTGGATTCCACTGCTAGCCACTATCCATCTTTGCTTATAACTATATATTAGTCTTTATAATAAACTTCATGAATTGTTTACAGTAACAAAATGGTTATTGTATATTACATTCTATGTTAATATTCGTTATTAACTAGTAACAACTTATGACTGAAGTGTCCAACTGGATAATACGCAAACTAAATAAAGCTCAGCAGAAAGAGTTTAACTATGATCCTCCTTTTATGAGACGATATTCATAATGAAAGAAAATCTAATGTTCATTTAAATAGTAAACTGAATTAATATGGGGAGTGAAGTCAATGAATAGTGAATGACGAGGACCTCAATGAAAAGATGTTAAACAAAAAAACAGGACAGCCAACAGCCAAAGACAACTTCCTCTGCAAAATCAAACACCTGTATGTAAAACGTCTGACTTTAAAACAAACATTTAAGATTAAATGAAATGATGAATACAGATCGTCCAGGTTACTTTTCAATATTTGAAATTAGGACCTGAGTTTCGAACTTAATTATTAAATACTATATCGATAACGTTTAAGCAATAACACTACAGTTAATAAAACTGTACTTCTGCTCTCATATCTATCGATTTATAACTGAGTGGTGACCAATGTTATGCTTATCCAGCTTTTTAGTGTTGATCAAATCATATCCATCAAGTTGCAATCTAGCAACTAGTTTAACTGACTTAACACCATTTGTATTAGGTTGAGAAGTTAGGCATTTAGAGATAGTCGCAGGAAGGTTAGTCATGGCTAACTAACTCAGTGGTTACATCTTGGACTGCGAATCTGGGTGACGCAGATTGGAATTTCCTAGGGATCATCATTTTTTTTATAGATTGCAGATAACAACTGACACAAAACCTAGGTCTGGGGTTTCTTGTTGACTACTTCCAACCAACTGACAACTTTCATGTCAGTTTATACACATAAAAGGTAATTATTTGATTATTTGACCAGAAAAATATCTTAAAGATTGACTCAACATTAAATATATTGAAAGATAGTAACTAGTGTTAATTTTCACCCGTTTATTATCACATTTTTATTGTGAATAAGTTGCTAATTTTACAATGTAGAGTTGTTAATTTAATTTAAAAAATGCTAGTCATGCGTTTAGACCTTTCAGATAAGGCTGAATGTTTGGGATAGTTTTGGTCGAAAATTAGGTCATTGAAGATAAATGAATTCTTAAATACAACACAAGATATTATTTCCAGAAATCATTGGACTTTTTAAATTGTAATTTAATATGGCTCAAATCACGAATTTATCTTAATTAGTCAATCACTGAAAATAGGATGCTTGAACAGCTCTTTCACCTTAGTATAGGACTCCTCGTTGGTTCTCATTCACATGGTGACTATGAATCGAACCCAATTGCTTCGGGTCATATGACAAGTACTTAACATTTAGACCCCTACTCCGGTATTCGGTGATTTACATCTATAACTCTAATCATTTCGCGATCTTACTGATTTTGCAATATCATTGATAAGCAACCATCTCACAGTCAACATAACTGAACTCCACAATCCCCGAAGGGTCGTGGGTGCTCACTGCTATGGAGTCTAAATAAGGTCAGTTTGTGATGTAAAATGTAAAATTCAACCATTTCCATGTTACCTTCAGACTACTAAACTTATTACGTATTGGAAGGCTGCTTAATATATATGTTAGACCTCTTAAAGTACTCCGCTCAATGAAGTCAAATGATGATGTAGAGTAATACAGTTTTTTGTCAAAATTATAAGTCAAATTTTTAGGAACCCATTTACAAAACTGTTGTTTTGGTTACTTCGACCTAGAATACTGAGATACATTTAAGGAACTAAAGCACCCATCTACGTTTTTATATATGGGGGATTTTTTTTAATACATAGAATGTAATATGACTATTTAGTCAGAAATTTTACTTAAAGTTTGATAGTGGCTAACAGTAAAACTCAGGATGTGTGCTTCTTCCTATTTGCTACTTGTTGGTGTTCATATCGGGATGCGAGTACATCAAGATAATGAATTAAAATAAGGGGAAAAATGCGTATTGTTGATTCCTTTATTAGTCACTATCTAACTCGAACTAAATTGACGGTTATTACTTACATTCCTATTTGGAGATGATCCATTATTAAAGGTGATAGTATATAAGTTACTTTTTATTTTAATAACTGTTCGTAATTGAACATTAAAAAAGAAAATAGAAATTGTCTAAGTAATATGACGTTTCAGTAAATTATGATTATTTTTTGTAGTTCTTATCGGATTCATAAATATATAACTTAGTTTATTTAAAAATATGATGTTTAGAGCACATTAGACTGTAACTTTCAACATAATTCTAGTATGTGTCTCCAGTTGATATCTGAGAATTGCTAAGAATTTTAATGAAAAGATTTGATAGAAAAGCACTGTAATATTGTCCGTCAATTTATCGAGTTCGAAAAAAATCATTGTTCAAAATGAACTTGGAATTTATAAATATATTGTAGTGTCGGTTACTATGTTAAGCCCATATAACTTATTCTAGCTTCTGGACAGGCCAGTTTATCCATTCTTCTGAAGTTATGTTTTAACCTTTTTCTTTAATCACTTATCAAATCGGACTGTTTTTATATGGGCGTATGTGTGTGCGCTTCTTATCCTACTCATCACATGTATGTAGCTTATTTTTGCATGACTATAAATATTGATCAACGCTTGATTAAGTCAAGTTGCCTCACACGCCTCCACTGCGTGTCATTTTCCTTCGCTCAGCTCTCTCTCTTCGCTTCATTCTCTGAGATTCTCTGGATATCTATTCAGATCAAAGAGTACAAAATATACGTATTCGAAATCCAATATATATACATATATATTCAAAAGTCCATTCTCGTTATTGACTTATTTAATTCCCCCAAATGCCCTGGTACGGCCGAGAGTGGGGAGAATCCGCTCTCCCTCTCCAAATGCTCTCAAATGGCCACGCGTATATAGCCTCTGCCAGGGAAGTCCTACTCACTGCCTTCTCGTGGCGGGGGTGTTGTTTACGAAAATGAGGGGACGAAAAGCGAATGTCCGGCGCTTTAACCGGATTCCGAACCAATGGTGCACATGGGCTCCAGTATCCTGAGGGAACAAATGGCGTATGAACCAATCGTTGGTCACCGGCTTCTATGGGACTGCATCTCCTCACGATGCTCCACTGCCTTGTGGGTCAGACGTTCAGGTCGAAGGCTCGAGGCATGGCCCCCTAAGACAACCACCTGCCTCGGTTTGGGCACCCGGGCAGTATCACACCCCTCACACATATCAAATGAGATTTATGTGGCGCATATGTATTTGTTTCCTCCTTGTACCAATATGTATGTGTTAAAATGAAAATGAAATGAATTCCATTATTCACAAATGCGAGTTAAGTCGACAGAATATACGAGGATAGCCGACATGTGTAATTCAATAACAATCATTCATACGATCTATTCGGAGTCAGATTATAGGCCACAAAATGGGTTATCCCGTCAACAACATCGTCTGGTCTAATTGACGTTAAAAGATAGGATCCCACTAAAATGTTTAACGAAATAACATGTTTTCTAGTTTACAATGAAAATCCATATTATATCAAATAAGTTTTAAAATATTTATATAGTTTAGGTAAATAAATCATAGTGAAAAAATTTTAACACATTTTCGTATTGGTTGTTTAAATCATCCGACTGATGTTTAGAACTGCAATTGGTTAATCTCTTATAAGTATACATGAATCTTATATGAATCGCTTTGATATAGCCGCTGATTCATGAACGTTTTATATACAGAGCCAAATGGTATCTAGCTGAGGAATCCAGAACACGTGTTTCATTGTATTTGGGATTCACCATGACCAATCACTACTTAAATTTATGGTCTATCTAAAATTTATTAACATGACCATTTCTTCATGTTATTCTGTCACTAAATTATCAATAACTGAATTTTTTAAATCATTCAGAAAATAGTTCTGTATGTCTTCTTTGTGAGTATGTTTTTGAATTGGTTCAATATATTAATTATTTGAAACTTTAGTTTCATTAGATGTGAGTATTTGGTTCACAAATGTTCAGACTGATACGTTTTCTAGAAAATGTCGGTATATCTATAGTGAAGAAAGACTTAGTGGGCATACTTGTAGTCCCATACACCATATACCTATGTTAAATTGAATGGTAGTGAATTTTCTAGTTTACTTTAAATGTTTGACATAAGCTTAAAAGAGTAATCTATAATAGACAGAGTTATGTATTGATGTCATCCTTAAGTAGATGACTAGCTGTTCTATACATCAAAAATAATACTGATCAGACGTTTATGATTTGTGGAGAAATTTTTATGAAAATTTACTCAAGACATTTAATAAATATCATTCATTCATCTAATTTACCTTGGAAATAAGAGTAAAGTTCAATATTTGATTCATGTGTGTTTTTAATCGCAGAGAGAATCTCTAGGACTTCAAACTTTCTATAGATGTACAAATCATAAATTTTCTATATCTTTATTTGTATTTCCATAAAAAGTAACTTGAATTATCTCTACACTTTACGAATCTTAAATGTCGGTGACAGATATCATAAAAGAGGTATTGTAACTTCTTAAAATTAATTTAATGTTTGTACATATATATGGTATCATTACCAAGGTTTGACTTGATAATTTCATATAAATTGAGCATTGAATAGATTGTTATAAATAAAATTAATATAATTATAATATCACAATGAGTAGTAAATTGAATCTTCTGACATTTCGTAACTCAGTATAAGCTATTTTTTTCAGAGAATAAATAACTAAATCCAAATTAATCGAAGTTTAAATAGTACAACGGGACAACACTAGAATATTAAGTGAGATCAATAAAAAACTGCAGGTCTGAACAAGTTCATTGTACTATTTAAACTTGAATTAATTTTCACTGAGTTACGAAACATCAGCAAATCTAATTTTTCTACTCATTAGGATATCACAAATATATTAATTTAATGTTTTTACATATATTTTATGTTTAATCAGTGGTATATTTCAACTATTTATAAAAATATAGAATGAGAAAAAGAGAATTCAGCTAAGAGAATTTTTTCCAATGAAATCATTTACTTAAGCTGTACATTCGTATACATAGTCATACATGGAAAATATATGTCTATAGGAGGATAGAAAAGATTACATCACCAAAAATGGATTTGAGAATAAATAACAATTGAAGTTACGTACACATCGTTCCAAAGGACTCTTCTTTTAAACTAATCTATAGAGTCAAAGGAACTGGATCGAAGAGGGTCGAATCGACCCGTGAACTCAAACCTGAATTTTGAGTGCAGAAACTATTTGTCCAACCTCTCATCCTTCCCAAGCCCTAATTTTTTTGATGGGTATGCTTCTGGGTTGCTTGTTTTTCTGCATATATATATATATATATATATATATATATATATATATATATATATATATATATATATATATATATATATATATATATGAATGTACAACTTAAGTAAATGATTTCATCGAAAAGAAAATTTTCTTCGCTGAATTCTTTTTTTCTTATTCAGTGACATTATGGATTATTTTAATGATATACAGAATGGTCTAGTTCATGATCATTAACCAAATTGAAGCTAATTTTGATAGAAATCTACCATTGAAACTTAATACTCACATTTCTAAATTTACAATTTATAAAATAAAAATTAAAAAAAACTGGATTAGAATTATTTCGATTGATCTGATTCATTATGTACTTAGTCATTACAATTTATCAATTACAATATTCTATATGATAGATTTCTACAATTTTATTTATTATCAGAAGGGGTTTTGTGGAGATTTTAGTAATTTTAACAGTTAAAGTCATGAGTCAATTGAAGCCAGACCGCCATGGAAAACCTGGAAGCACTGGAGGGCCGTTTCGTTCTAGTATGGAACTCCTCAGCAGTGCGCATCCACGATATTGCCTCCCGCAAGATCCGAACCCAGGATCTATCAGTCTTGCGCACGAGCGCTTAACCATTAGACCACTGAGCCGTCCGGCATCCAATGGTGTTAATGTCTAACTTCAACCAATCCACAAAATTGAGCCACCATACATCATTGTCTTCAGTGAGCTGATATCTCACAACAGACCTGGTTGTACTCCACTGGTCAAGGCTTCTACTGAGAAGCTTCCGGGTTTTCCATAGTGGTCTAGCTTCAAATGACTCATGACTTCAACTGTTGAAATTTTATTTATGCTTTTTTCTTTCTCGTTCTTTTTTTTTCAAAATATTTTTTACTTACTTTGATTGTTTAATTTCACAGAAACTTATAAAATCTTGTGAATTCCTTTTTATTTTTATATTTTCATTAGAATCTATATTTGATACATTTATAATATGCGGTAAATGATATAACGATAATGAATTATCTTTAGATGAATTTAATTCTATGGAAGTTTCACAACATTCATCATGTCGGTTGTTATGATGATGATGTTGATATTGATGTTGTTGTTGACGAGCATGTTGATGTTGCTTTTGTTGTTGAGGGTGATTGATAGAGTTTAATGTTGGAGGATGTGAAAAACGTATATCTTTCCGAATATTATTATCATTATTATTATTATTATTATTAATATAATGTTTAACATATTGATTACGATGATATCTTATACGTGCACGATTTAATATTTCAATTTCTGGTAAATCACATAAAATTAATTTAATAATTTTAGAAAATTTTAATTTATTAATTAATGTTAATAAATATGTTGAAAATTGTAAATCATATATTAATGGAAAATATAAATTATAAAATGGTCCTGATATATTTAATTTTTGTAAACACCATATTGATTTTTTACTTTGTATATAGCGTATTAATTCTGGTAAATGATATGAACCTATTTGTAATAAAATTTGTTTATTTATTTGTTTATATAAATTAAAATCAATATTATTTTTTTGTAAACTTATAATGTATGGAAATGGATTTATACTAAATGGTGATAAATATGAAGATGATAATGATGATGAACTAGATAAATTTATATTATTATAATTATCATTAGGACTTAAACATGATAAACTTAATCCAATTTCTGATATTGACCAACAATTATTATTTATTATAGTTGAATGTTTATTATTATTGATTAATTGTTGATGTGTTGTTTTCTTTAATTCTTCTTGTAATTGATTATTATGATTAGTTTCAATATGATGAATAAGAAATTTTTCATTATCATTTATATGATAATTATTGTGATTCATTGAATTATTTTTAATCTTCATCACAACTTGACTACACTGAAGAAGAAAAAAAAGAAGAAAATTAAAAGAAATTGATTAATGAATAATTCTTCCGGTGTAACCATGTTAGTATCAAAAAGGGTTTTGTGGAGATTGTAGTAATTTCGATCGTTCAGCTCATGAGTCAATTGAAGTTAGACCAGCATGAAAAATTTGGAAATACTGGATGGCCGTTTTGTTATATTATGGGACTCCTTAGCATTGCACATCCACGATACCGCCTCGTGTGATTCGAATCCAGGATCTATCAATTTTGTGCGTGAGCTCTTAAACACTAGACCATGGTGGTCTAGCTTCAATTGACTCATGATATTAACTACTGAAATTATAATCATATTACTTGTTATCCGTTGATAGTAGAAATGTATTGTATGTATTCTACTGGTGTTACTAGTTTAAATAATACATAACAAAATTTCAAAGGTTTATCAATCATCATCCATTCTAATATCATCTTTATGTTTATATGTTTATATATATGTGAGTCTCTATGTATTCATTATCGTCATGGTTCGTATACTTACATGTGTATGTAGTGTATTGGCTTTTATGTGACTTCTAATAATTTAATGACCGTAAATGTGCTGGTTTCTCTATGATTAAAAAAGAGTAAACTGTGGTGAGTTGATATAAGAGGATGCACATAGAGTATACATGAAGTGATGTTGTTACTTTGAGTTAGATAACATAGCTTGAAAAGGGTAAGTTTATTTGAATGAGAGTATTCTTAAAAATTGGCTACTAGAAGATTAATCTTGTACAATAAACATTATATATATATATATATATATATATATATATATATATATATATCATACAAAAGTAGATTACAACAAGGCAGGAATGAAAACCATAGGTTTGAAGCCTATTTAAATAATCAATTTCTTAGAAGGTATATTTTAACTTTTCAAATACCTATATTTACCATTTCGCTTATGATATTTCCTGTAATTTTTTTTCTGGATATAAATAATTAAAATGAGAATGATAGCATTTAGACAATAAAGTTAATTTACTACAGTTTGTGTTATTCCCTATATTGAATATCAAGTTAAAAGAAGTAAAACTTTTCACTACGTATTAATGTACTCATAAATTAAGAAATGATTTATCGATCAGAGAACAGAAGACTGAGTGGAAGATTGTATACTACTATTATTTATACTAAACTTTTAAACGCTTACAAACCATCAACATTTATTATGATATTAGGTACGTTTGTGGATTCTTCCATAATTCAACTTAGTTAATAGTGCACAAGCAGAAGGTTTATTTCAGTTAAACCATTTGAGTCTCTAGTCTGTAAGTAGCATTTTTATAGGATGTATGATTTAACCTGAACTTATGTTCCGTGCAAATTGGTACTCGTTGAAAAGGTGGACGAGGAATTATTAGGAAACTGGTATTCACCAATGGAACTCAAACTTCTGCCATTCAATATCAAAGATATTACTGTTGAGTCTCATTTGATTTTTGATGGAACGGATTGATCACTAGGCATTTACTAACATCTTATTTGTTTAGTCCTTAGTGATAATTGAATTATATCTAGGAAGATTAATCGTGGTCACTGCTTGAATTGTAGAGCGAATACTTCAAGAGCACACTGACGATGATTATTCGTAAGTTGGTGGATGACAGAAACAGATTATGATTAGAGAAATGCTACAAAACATGGTTCCCATTATCTGATCTGCAATCTTATAGTACCGATTAGGCACCATAATAACCCTCCTCTATCCTTAGTTTGATGTCAGTGTTTTTTTCTTAAACTTAATTAGGTGAACTTTTCGTACCCATTAACCTGCCATAAATGGCCTGGTACGACCGAGAGTGGGGAAAGTCCTCCCTTCCTCTTGAAATGCTCTCACATGGCCACGCGTATATAGCCTCTGCCAGGGAAGTCCTATTCACTACCTCGTGGCGGAAGCGTTGTTTACGGAATTGAGAGAAAGAAAAGCGAATACCCGGTACTTTAATCGGGTTGGTTGACATGGAGAGTCTACCCAGGGGAGTTGGAAAACCCTGATTCCAAACCAATGGTGTACATAGGCTCCAGTACCCTGAATGAACAAATAGCGTATGAACCAATCGTTGGTTACCGGCTACCATGGGACTACATCTCCTCATGATGCTCCATTACCTTGTGGATCAGATCTTTAGGTTAAAAGTTCCGGTTATGACTCCCTAAGAAAACCGCCCGATTTGGTTCGGGCACCCGGGCAGTACCACAGCTCTGAAACAAACCAAATGAGATTTGTATGGCGCATATGTATCTGATGCTCTCTTGTACCAGTATTTATGTGTTCAAATAAATAAATTAGTACTCATTAGCCTGATCTAAGTTCCGAACATCCGCATAGGTTCCCTTACTTCCTAAAACTGCTGTATCACATAAAGAAAGTCAACTGAACCTCTTAGGTAGAGCCTATTAATCCATGATCATCTGAAAAAATCTTGGGACGGAGAGTGTGTTCTTCTCCATATCAACTGTTGTAAAGTATTTAAGAAATAATATCTCTACTTAAGACATAATGATTAATAAAAATCCAGCATTTTTGTTATTGAATTATATTAAAGTTTGAAAAATTGTGTTTTTCTCTATTTTTTTCTCTTTTTTTGTTGTTGTTGTTGCTGGTTCTGTACAAAACTTTCAGTTTTGTATTTATATAAATTATTTTACCATAAAATGACATCATTAACATTGTAGATAATATTTATTTAATCTAAAGATTTATCTCATAAAATATATAACAGTTTTTAGGTTTCTTAAAACTATTCATACATGTATACATTGGTTAGTTACAAAAATTGTCAAGGAATGCTTAAATTTCTCGTTACTATAAGAAAAAATGAACAATTGAAGTGGTAGTAGTAGTAGTAGTAGTAATAGACATAGTTTTAAAATATAAAAACTAAAAAAATAGATGATTTCGAAAATAGATATACAAAACTTTAAGTGTCAAATGTAACTAGTATCTGAAAAAAATAGACTAGATGATATTTTATGATAGCTTGTTTTGATCGTGGATCAAAATATTCCGCTTAGAGAACAAAACTCCATCAATATCATTCACCTGAGCTACAAATCTTCTCCACCATAATAGCTTATTGTTTGATTTTTTTATTTATTATAAACGAATAATTTAAAATATCACTTATTATTAACTTAAATAGGAATAAAATTAATAACAGTTGTGAGACACTTTAGTTGTATAAAATATTAGTCTGAGTTGTCTAGGTAAATGTGAGATTTGTATCCAAGGTTATTGAATTGATATACATTAATAATTTGAAGATTTAAATGATATAATTCAAGATCAAATGAAATGGAACTGTTAGGTCCCGATAAGCATAATGAATGGTAACTTTGGGGATCCATTTATGGACCAATACTATGCGTATATTTTTATCGTATAATTTTTAATTAACTAAACTATTCATATTCATGTATCTCTTATCATAAGCTTTACTTTAACCTATGAATTGTTATTATACGATTTTCCATTCTTGAATTGTTCTCTGTCTATTCATTACTACCTCTGACGTTCACTGCCACACTTGGCCAAATCTTGTACAAATGTTTTCATATTTTATGGTACGATATGGTCTATTTGATTGGCATATAAACTCCGTATGTTTGAAATAAATTATTCAGATCGCAGGGGCTCGAACTGGTGTTCTGGACTTAACTGGCTGGGCTAAGCACGAAGCAGGGCCAATAAGGATACTAGACTGCTCATACGGGTTTGTGCGTCGTTGGTCCAATCGATAATTCACTGCTCTCTGATTGGCGGTATCGTTACGTTTTAAATTAACAGGGCACACAGGCCACAAATTATGACAAAAACAAAGACATTCTTCTTGGGATATCTTTAGTTTTTCAACGTATTTATTTATTAAGTACTTTAGAAGTTTATTAAAAAAGTGTTTTGTCAGTATAGTATACCTGCAATCTTCAGGGAACTGAAATTTTTCTGGTGAATTGGAGTATGTATTACCCAAATTTATAGTCTGTGAAGTTACTACTATGTTATTCGAACTGCGACTGATCTTATATAAAACTAAGGTGCTTACATTGACAGGATATAACTTAGTAATCAATATTATTGATTCAAAACACTTCCAGCTTGATACTCTTTTATTTAAAAAAGAATAAGACTTTTCACAAACTAACAAAGTCTCATTCGGAAAACTTTTTTTAATAGCGACCAAAATCATTATTCTTGAGCTAAGCCTCGCGGTATTTAATTTCGGGCGGGGCCCTATTAGAGATCAAATTGTACAAGTGGGTTTTAATATAAAGCCTAAATATTAGAATATCTGAAAATGGAAAACTAAACATAAAGTACTTATTATCAGTATAGGGGTTATGGAGATTGTTACGTTTTGATTGAGATCATGAACCGATTGATGTTAGACCACCATTGAAAACCTGGAGGCACTGCTGAGGATTCCCACAACAGGACGAAACGGCCGTACAGTGCTTCCAGGTTTTCGATGGTGGTCTAACATCAAACGGTTCATGATCTCAATCATAAAGTACTTATGTTGTGTTTGTAATCTTTTCAATTCAACCCTATACTATATGGTGGATTTTAATTTCAAGGGGAAAAATAATCGTCATATTTTATCGAATACTATAGGCTTACAATTTAAAGGCTTCTTGTAGATAACGTAACAATGTAGTATCAAAGTAAGTACAGTGAGATGTCAAATCAGTAAAATCCCTCCAAAACGTAGGCTAGTATGAAGGACGAAATAATTAAACATAAACCACTAATTCATGATAAGTGAACATGTAGAACTAAAAATATACTCTTGCTTAACTTTTAAGAATATATGTGAACAATCAACCGTGATAAATGTGACTATTTTTATAAAGTCGAAAGAAGGATGTAACTAGAAGTTTATAGGTATCTATAATAAGGTCACACTTGATCGTTTCAAATAAATTGATTATCAGGTAGAGAGTTAATAATAAATTTATTTTAATG